ATATTTTGAATTCTTTGGAAAAATTATTAGAGCTCAAAAGGAAATGGAGGGTGCTGGGGAACTGTTAAATTAGAAATTGGTAATGGCTATTATAAAACAATTAACAGTAAGAAATTGTGGACTTGGCTGGAGGCTTTTAAGTTTCTGAAGCAAATATAAAGGCTTCCAGGTGTCCCTTCTGCTGATTTCTCAGGATTTCACTTCAGTGAAGAGTTGGCTTCCCACTCCATATCTAAAACGTTCCTTAACATTTTGGAATTGAGGAAGAACGCTCTTAACGGTACGTTAATGACACTAACAGAATAATTTCCTCAAGCTGAGTTCAAAGTTTCAATTGCTCAGTCAAAGAAAGCATAGTTGATCAGGACTTCTTTTTAGAGGGGAATACTAATAAAGCTGGAAATGTAGGCAAGGTGTCCTTTTTTTCATCTCTTAGAGCTGCTGTTTTATAGTAGATACGTGTGTTAATTTTGTGATATTACTGTAATCGTAACAGTGAGATCATGCTGGTCTGGTCTGTTTGTGTTGCTTAAAGAAGCAGGTTGAAACTATGTAGTTCTAATCCAGTCTGAAAACACGCGGGATGTGGTGGTGACCCATCACCAGAAGTTTTCAAGCTGCAACTGGACGAGGTGCTAGATAATCAGGCTCCCTTTGCCACAGAAGGCTGGAACAAGTGATCTCTCGAGTTCCCTTCCAACCTGGGCTGGTCTATGATTCTGTGACTCTACATCAAAAACTGAACTGTGCTCATGAGTTGAGATGAAGGGTAATGGTTTTCACACTGTCACCCTGCTTATGGCACTAGGTTAATTATGAGTAGATCATACCAGGTTTGGCTGACAGTCTCACAAATTGACATTGGGAGGCGTGTTCTTTCCAGAGCGTGCAGGCTGTCATCCCCTCCAGGAGTCATCAGTATTGGGGCTGTCAGATGCCTTGTAGAACTGAGCCCTTACGTTTGTTACTGATTTAAATATGGCCCAGTAGGGACAGACACTTTGCGTTATTAGCATCTCAGTGCTGTGCATATAAGCTGGTGTACATCTGCCTCATCTCAGTTGCCACAGTCCACGAGACCTGAGCAGACCCCGCTAGTCTGCAGAGCTTTGCTGGGTGTCCGGCACAAACTCTAAACAGAGCTGAATGTTGTTTTTCACAAATGACATAGGTATAATGATTGAGCTCTAGACTTAAACCAATCAAGGGACAAATGTAAAATACAGTACATTCAAATCCAGATTATTGAAAAGGTAAATTAATTGCATTAGCCTGTTTGTCACAGTTAGTACTGATATTTAAGAGTGAATTGGATCCAGGTTATCTGACAGCAAGAAAGACCCTTAGAATATATCACTGTGCAATCCAGCCTGTAACTTCAGAATAGAAATAACACTTCAAAGTTGTTGTTGTTGTTCTGCTGACTGTTAAGTACAGCGTCTTAAACTGGACTGTATTTTCAGCATGTATTTTGAATGAGCGCTATATTCATGAGGCCGTAGATTTGCCTTCATTATTGTTCTGGGGTAAACAAAGCCCTTATCCTACAGGCAGGGTATCTGGTAGTTTTTTCTGAGGCCATTTAATTTTTATACTTAGGTGAGGTGTTTTATTTGTGGAACTGCTTGCTCTTTTTCAGTGAAGGTTTTCTGTTTGTGGTTGCACCACATCTGTTTCCTGTTGTAGCCTGTATTCTCACTGTGGTTGAAACCCACACCACAGTGTGGTTAAAAGCAGCGTGAACAGCTGGAGACACTGCGTCATAGCAGCAGAAGGTGGGTTTCTCATATGGGGGATAGGCTTCCCTGTGATGAGCTGGTCCTTCTGGGGCTGGAGAAGGGAAATGAATAAATAAAGTAGTATTGGCTGGGACCTGGTTGTCACTTAAATTTCAGTAAGTGAAAAGGTGAAGCTGAAATGCTTTGCAGTCGGCTGATTAGTGATCATTTCTTTGTGCTTGTTATATGTATCATCCCTATATCTCTTGCAACTTTCCTTCTGCCTTACACCAGACTGTTTGGCTCTGTGGCCTATTGATAAAATTCTATCCAGATCTCCTAAAATACAGCCGAACTGAGGTGCAGACAATGTGTTGCCATGGAACTATCCAAGGGTGGTACCCAGTTGCTAGTGGGCAGGTGTTCGTATTCAGGAATATTGCACAGATGTGCTCAGTGCAATAGATTGCAGTGGGTGTGGGGTGGCAGGTATGTGCAGGTACTTTCAGGTGGGCACCTGTTTTGTCTAGGTGACACAAAGCTGTCTTTCAAAATAACCTGAATGTGGCAGAACAAAAATTAAATAAAAACAGATACTTAATCCTTAACTCCTCCCTTCTCTTTTCCTGACTTTCTTTCAGTATTAGAGGAAGCGTATTCCAATAGCTCCCCTACTAAAGTTTGCCAAAAAAAGTTCATCTTGCACCGTACACCTTTTAACTGTGTTTGCCAGTAGTTAAGCACCCTCTTAAATATAGAAGTTTCTTCCTTTTATAAATACAAGGCAAAAAGTGTAGTATCTAATGTTACTGCTTTGTGATAGTGATGTTTTAGTGCTTATTGCCATGTGATTTTGGTTGATTCACTTTGCAACATCCATCCATTCTGTGTATCTTTTTGTTTTGCTTAGCAAGCACTAATTGCCATATATTAATCAGTTGCAAACAAATGCCTTATCTCTGTAGTTTAAGGAGGAGGAGGAAACAAGTCATCACAGAAATGTTGGATGACTGTTATGGTTTGAGAAGGGATGGTAGACAAAAGGGGATGATGAATTTTGCTTGGCGGTGGTGATGTTTTCTTGAAGGAATGGTGGCCTTAAGGACTAGAACTCACCATTTATCTTACAGCTGTTAAATTTGTGTCCCTGGTTCTAAAGTTAGCCATTAGTCTGTTGTTTAGCAACCTCATTTATCAGAACGGGGTGTGGGAGGCAGGCTGCTAGGAATTGAGAGAGCCAGCAGATTGACATTTTCTGAAGTGGAGTAAATGGAATAGCAGAGCTTGTTTTTAAAAGAAAGTCCAGAAATCAGGCACTTCTGCTGGGCTCTGCGCCCAGCTAAACAACCTGTGATAAGAACGGCTACGTTTGGATTTGGTTATCAGTGTAACAGACATAAGTTCCAGCTTTAGGATGGTGAATGCACCTGAACGCAAAGTGAAGCCGCAAGTACTGCGCTTGACTTTCTAAAGGATCTTAGTGAGAATGCAGGGAAAAAGGAGCATTTCACTAAGTGATCTTATTCTTGTGATGCATGTGCATTTGTAGAAGCATGCTATATATGCTACTAGACTGATGATTTTTTGGTAAGCCAGTTCTACAGAGTAATTATGAGCTTTTTAAAATAAAGTAACTATGGAGCTTATTCCTACAAGCCAGCAAGTATGCAGTGCCCCTTTCATTTTTCTGTAGGAAATGTGCACATAAAGATGCAATTCCAGTTCTAACGTACTGACAGTAAGTGCCGTAATGTTGGGAATTTTATGACAGGTAATAGTCTTAAGGATAAATTGTGAACATTATAGCATTTTCTTCCACTTTTTTAGTGAACTTAACAATACTTTATTACGTACGCATTATACTGTACACTGAGAAAGGTATGGCTTTCTGTTCTGTTTCTCAATTATTTTCCTCCCTTCCCATCTGTGCTTGGGTAGGCAAGAGGTGGGAGTTGCTCCAAACAAGCTTTCTTATTTCTTGAGAGCTAGGAAATTCTTCTTACCACAAAAAATCATCCATCTAGCCAGAGTTACTAAACCAATTGATCCTGAAGGTTGTTATTACACAAGTCTGTGGGTTTGAGCCAGGAGAAGAATGGGAATTCATGTGGACTTGTCTATGGCTATCTTAATTCCACAAGGCAAGTGAGAGGGGTTTGAAAGCCGTGATTTAGTAGGTCATTCTTTTTCGAGTCCTTAATTTGGAACATCCTTGGGTAGTGGACTTGATGATCTCAGAGGTCTTTTCCAGCCTCAACAATTCTGTGATTCTGTGGGGAGGATGTTTTAACGTATCAGGGATTAGTATGCTACCTTGAATCACATCATTCTGGGAAGTTTTTACACTAAGGATGGAATTTTTTTCCTTTTTTTTTTTTTTTTTTTTTGGAAGGGTAGTAAACGTGCTGTAAATATAAATTGTAAATTTGAAACAAGGGGAGATATAAATTGCAGTGCCAAATCATTTTGAAGCTTCTCTTAAAACACAGGACTCGTCATTGCTGCCAGTATGGTACTTTTTATAATAATACTTGGCATTCATAAGATACTTGATCACTTGAACATGCATACGTATGTTTAATTAATCCTTTCAGTGCCTCTTTGAGGAAGTTAGGTATTACTTCTTTTCAGCAGTAGAGAAAAATGACACAGTAAATTCAAGTGTCTTGATCAAAGGCATGCAATTATTTACAGACTATTACTGTTCCTTCTAGTACAAAAAATACTGAACTTAATTGTGAAGAATGTAAAGCTGGTTCTTTATTCAGACCTGAGAATATAAATGTGTTCTGTAGAGCTTCGTGACTATTTGCCTCCATGAATTTATGTGGGGCCTCCTCTTAGTGCTATCTGTAACCTGGGCTAAGCTCACTTGGGAGGGACTGTGGACCACAAGATGCTGAGCCGGGACTCCTTGACATTGTAAGCTGTCTTAATTTGCCATTTAAAACTAAACCAAGAGACTCAAGTCAGAAATGAGAGAGAGAGAGACAATGTCTAACAGGGAGTTTCTAAAGGAAATGGAATGTTGTATGGTAACTTCACATTATGCTCTAATTTTGAGATTAGCTTTGTATATGTGTGATCCTCAGTGGCCTTTAGAGTAAGTACCTGTTCATATACAGGGAGTTGTTTGACTGCTGTGTAACACTGAGAGCATTTTAATGGCTCGGAGTTTATTTTTTAATTTGAAGTGTGGAGCAGCTAGTTAATTAATCTCTGAGAAATAGTGACAGAATTATTCCATACGCGTAATAAGTTTGTGTTTGTGTATATCCATAGGTCATGAATGCTGATGGGACTGGGAGAAGAGTTTTGGTGGAGGACAAGCTGCCTCATATCTTTGGATTCACATTGTTGGGAGACTACGTTTATTGGACAGACTGGCAAAGACGCAGTATCGAGCGTGTGCATAAGCGCACAGCAGAAAGGGAGATTATCATAGATCAGCTGCCTGATCTAATGGGCCTGAAAGCTACAAACGTCCACCAGATAATTGGTGAGTGAGACTGCTACCTGGGCAAGTAAAAGGAAAAAATTTCGGCAGTGACCTCCTGCAGGTAGTACTTTATACCAGGTCAGACTTTTAGAAATGGGTAGAATGCGGTTCTATTGCGTGATAACTGCAGGCTGCAGTTGGAATGGGTGGGGTAGGTCTTTTGTGAGGTGCTTCAGTTCTCTAACTTGGAAGATTATCAAGTTGGAAAACAGCCATTCACCCCTCATAATGGGTAACTCTGCTTCTTGGCGAATGGGAGCAGCTCGTAAGTCTGAACAACCCTGGATCCAGTAAGGGGAGAAGAAGGATCACAGGGAATGAGAACTTCTCTTTGTAACAGCCAGCTATTAGATTAGCCCAGCTGTTTATGAAACTGCAGCTGTAGCAGCTTTTTTCATCTTGCAGTCTGAACATGTGCTCCCAGTGTGTGAAAGCTAAGAATGAACCAGTTTGAGTCTGTTCATTGTTTTTCACATTAACACTGCAAAATCATCTTTAAAAACAACTAGAAATACTTTTTGGCCTTTAGTGCCTGAGGTAAAAGACCAAAATCTAGCTTTAAATTGGCTATTGATCGCTATCCAAACTCTTGTAACAGTGTAACTGAAGCATCACAAAATTCATTGCATTCCCCAAATGTCCTGCTATTTGGATGGGGCTTGCAGCTTCTTTCTGCCATTTGGGTGGGGCTTGCAGCTTCTTTCTGCCATATCTGGATTGTACCCCAGGGAATTAGTCAAATGTAGTCGAGGTGTATCTTTACATTGCTGCTACCACATTAACATGATGTCATAAGGTATGTGTGCTTTAAATGCAGCTTTCTTTCCAACTTGTTTGGCCAGCTGAGCTTGGTAGTGTTGGGCCTCTCTTAGGTGGATTTCCAGCGTGAGCAGGTACACAAGTTAGTATTGCAAAGAGCTGCTTTACTAGCATCCTGGAGAGAAGAGATCATTTAATGGACACGAAAATAGAACTGCATATTTTTCACCTCTAGGAACACAGTTGGGATATGTAACTGCACCGGTGCGCTGTAAAAGGCAGCAGAACATACACTTGCTTACTTACATACTTGCCGTCCATTCAGAGCTTGTGCTGTGAACTGGGAACATCAGTAGCAGTTGGGCGTCCAGATCCCTTCCGCTAATGCTGGGTTTGTTTAGTGGGTTCAGGAAAACAAGCACTGGCTTTGCAGCTAAGTAGAGTGACTTCTGTCTGAAAGATTACAGGAAAGAAAAATTAATTCATTCAGGGAACAAAAGGTGAAAAACTGTAAGTATTTCTTGAAAGACTCATAATATTGTTGATGCATGTGAGAACTGTCTTTGTCTTCCAGCTGAAGTTGGTTTGCAATGATTTCTTTTGCTTTTTTGTCGCATGCTTAGGTACAAACCCCTGTGCAGAGGATAACGGTGGCTGCAGCCACCTCTGTCTGTACAGACCACAAGGCCTTCGCTGCGCTTGTCCCATAGGCTTGGAGCTCATCAACGATATGAAGACCTGCATCGTCCCAGAAGCTTTCCTGCTGTTTTCTCGGAGAGCAGATATCAGACGAATCTCCTTAGAAACGAACAACAACAATGTTGCTATTCCACTCACTGGAGTCAAGGAAGCTTCTGCTCTGGATTTTGATGTGACAGATAATCGGATTTACTGGACTGACATTTCACTGAAGGTAGAGTTTTACTCCATATTGGCTATTCAGTTGTTAAAAGGTTCTTGAGATGCGATTTGCAAGATTCAATGGGTAGGTAAAAGAGCTTGTTTTAACTAAGAATGGCATACGTTCTCTCCTATAAATCGTTTGCATTGGGTTTGCATGGCAAAATTTTGGTAGTGCGGGTGCTACCAGGGTGGCTACTGTGAGAAGCTGCTAGTAGCTTTGCCCACGTCTGACAGAGCCAGTGCGAGCTGGCTCCACTGCTTCCCAAGGCTGATCCGATCAGCAGCAGCGGTAGCACCTTTGTGGTAACATATTTAAGGGGAAAATGTTGCTGCACAGCAGTAATTGCAGCTGGAAAGAGGAGTAAGAATATCTGAGAGGAGCAGCCCTGCAGACACCAAGGTCAGTGAGGAAAGAGAGGGAGGAGGTGTTCCAGGTACTGGAGCAGAGATTCCCCTGCAGCCTGTGGTGAAGGACCATGATAAGGTGGGCTGTCCCTCTGCAGCCCATGGAGGTTAACAGTGGAGCAGATGTCCACCTGGAGCCTGTGGAGGACCCCACACTTGAGCAGGTGGATGGCTTAAGGAGGCTGGGACCCTGTGAGAAGCACTCTCTGGAGCAGAGTCCTGGCAGGACCTGTGGACCCATGGAGAGAGAGGAACACACGCTGAAGCAGGTTTGCTGGCAGGACTTGTGGCCCTGTGGGGAACCCACACTGGAGCAGTCTGTTGCTGAAGGACTGCACCCCATGGAAGGGACCCATGCTGAAGCAGTTTGTGAACAACTGCAGCCTGTGGGAAGGACTCACATTGGAGAATTTTGTGGAGGACCGCCTCCTGTGGGAATGACCCCATGCTGGAGCAGGGGAAGAATGTGAGGAGTCCTCCCACTAATGAGGAGGAGGGAGTGGGAAAGACAACGTATGATGAATTGACCACAACCCCCATTCCCCCATTCCCTGTCTCCCTGTGCTGTTGGAGGGGAGGCAGTAGGGAAAACCAGGAGTGAAGTTGACCTGGGAAGAAGGGAGGGATTGGGAGGAATGTATTTTAAGATTGTTTTATTTCTCATTATCCTAGTATGTTTTGATTGGTAATAAATGAAATTAATTTCTCCAAGTTCAGTCTGTTTCGCCCGTGACAGTAAGTGGTGAATGATCTCCCCCTGCCCTTATCTCGATGCACAAGCCTTTCATTATACTTTCTCTCCCCTGTCCAGCTGAGGAGGGGGAGTGATAGAGCAGCTTTGGTGGGCATCTGGCCTCCAGCCGGAGTCAACCCGCCAGATCATTTAAACATAATGTATACATTTTCTCATAACGGATAAGCTTGCAAAAATTAAAGTTTTGGCAGAAAGCTGAGAAGAATGCCATATGGCAGGAGGTTTCAAGAATCACAGCTATTTTGCCAAATATATTTAACAGGGGGAAGCCTTGTCTTGGGTCAAGAAGTGAAAATCTTACCTATTCATTAACTTATATAGCTACTGCATGTGAGATATTATCAATCACAGACTTTGTGAAACAGGTCGAGGGTCTAAATTGGAAAAGGTTGAGGGCAGGTGTTTAAATGTGGTGGTTAATCGAGTGACAGATATCTGACTGGTGTCTGGCTGTTCTCTCTGTTATCAGTGAGTATAGTTATTCCCTTTGTTTTTCATGGGTTGTAGATGGAGTCAGAAATTGTGAGCACCAAAAATTAGGTTTTAATAAAAGAAAGTTTTTGCAATTGGGTTAGGACCTGTGCCAACAATAACTCTTGAGCATTTGCAACTGAAGAATCACAAAAGTTATAAACACAGAGTTTAAGTGAGTTTGAGAGGTGACTTGGCTGAACTCTTTAGGTATGGTATTCATATGAGCTCTGTTTGAAATGAAAAAAATAAAGCAATGAACTGATCAATTTTTAAGGATGATACAAATGAAGACTGAGATACAAACTTCCCTACTGTGTACTGTCACAAATTGGCATAATAGCAAGTAACATCCAAACTGGAAAGGAAAGAAAAAAATCAATCTTTATGCATGAGTGTATGCACAGAGGGGAATATTAAGGACACAGAAAGGGAGCCCATGTTTGCCAAAAAGAATTTAGTACCATCCTAATATTATTGTTTTACTTTCAGGCTTGTATGTGGTCGTAGCAAATGAGGGAATGCCTAAACTCTGATATATTACTGAAATGTATCTGCCTGCATCTGCTGTCACAGGCTGACTCACAATGGCAAGCACTGAAATAAGTCTTTTGAATAAAAGACCAAGAAGAAATTATGCTTAGTGAAATTAAATTAAGACATCAATATTGAAGCACTTTCAATACTTGAGTAATCAGTCATTAGGTCGTTTTCTTCTATTTGCTGTTCTGTCCTGAACTTTTTTATTAGACTCCTTTAAATAGTGTTCCATGCTCTAATATCAGTGCTTTTGTATAGTCCTGGGAGAGCCCAAATATTTCCCCCTCGAAGTTGGCACTGAGTTATTAAGGTCACTTTGACATGTAGACTGCTTAATTGAGCCAGACTAGTTATCCCATTTATTTCCCCAGTGAAACGCTATTGTAATTGACACAGAATACATTCACAGAGCACAGTAAATAATTACTTCTGAATAGCAGCATTGTTTGCCTCGCGAATAAGTAGCATATTGTAAGATCCTCTTTCCTTTGAGATGCCTAAAATCTGAAAGTGTTTAAAATGCAACAAAGAAAACAACCAGCCCAATGACAAACTGGTAAAATTTCTAATTTGCCTGTGTATCTTTGTATCCCTGCAGACCATCAGCAGAGCGTTTATGAATGGCAGCGCCCTGGAACACGTTGTGGAGTTTGGCTTGGATTACCCAGAAGGCATGGCTGTAGATTGGCTGGGCAAGAACTTGTACTGGGCTGATACTGGAACAAATCGTATAGAAGTGTCAAAACTGGATGGCCAGCATCGCCAAGTGCTGGTGTGGAAAGATCTCGACAGTCCCCGGGCATTGGCATTGGACCCTGCTGAGGGGTAACTTGCTGATTTAATTTTACGTTTATTAACGGTGAAAAACAACATTGTAATGCTTCCTCTAGGGCATGTTAGTTAGGCGCTGCATGTAAATCCTGAGAGAATTAAGCTAGGGAATACAACCTGGTAATTTAGAGTATGAGGGCTAGAGAAATATGCTCTTAATGTCCTGAATAATCATTAAGAATACTACAAAAAAAAAAAAAATCAGAGCAACTCATTAAAAAGGGATTTATATTTGGGTTTTTTTAATTAATCACAGAATCAAAGTAGTTTTAGCTTTATGGAATTCATTAATTAGAAAAGGACTGTAGCATTGAAAAGAAAATATTTGTCCTTTTAAAAATGAGGTTCCTTTTTGTCACAAGTTAGGGTCCAATAAAGGTATTAAATGATTTAACTTGAGAGTGGGGGAGTGAATCTTACTGTCTGAGAATAAGGAAGGTGTTTCTTCAGATAAGGGAACCTTTTTAGTTGGTATGGAAGAGGGAAGCAAGGACAGAGAATGAGTGGAAACAATTATACCTACCTATCCCCAAAATGAAAGATTTTCTGAGAAAAAACTTCTCAGTTGGATTCAAATGTAATAGTAAAAGTAGGGCAATAAGCAGGAGGAGGGAGGACGGAGTGGTGCAAAGCAAGGCAAAACTATTTAACTTCTGAAGTAGCTCTTCTACCATGAAATGCTCATTTGACGTTAACTAATTACTGCAAAACCTTTCTGAGATTATCCCAACATAGTGTTACTCTTATTTTTACAAACAAGGGAACCTAATTTTCAAGTGTTATCAAATTTTCGTGGTTTTGAGTGACACTGCAAGAGCTGACGGAGAGAACCTGCAGCATGTTCCTCCTGCTTCATTTCAAAAAGGTGGTGGCGACTGTCCCAGCATTTAGTCAGGCAGAGTTCTGTGCTGGCCCTGGTGGGACACGTAGGTGGGGTTCAGACCTGATGTGCCAGAGGTGACCTGGAGAAGTACCTCAGAGGGTGTCCAAGACCAGATGGTTAGATCCAGTTACTGAGTTATAACAAAAGGTTGCTGCGGATTATTCTAGTTTTACACTAAGAATAGGATTTTTTTCCCCAAGAATTTTTACAGTTCAGTGCTTTGTCTCTTTACCACAGACCAGTTTTGAGTCCAAATACCTGTTTTTCTTTTTGTCTTGTAGCTGAGCTATGTCATTGTACTTTATATAGGAGTTTTTGTGGCATTGCTGTCGTGGGGGTAATTCTAATGCTTAGGTCCACGCCGTGTAAAATTTGCAAAATTTATGTACAAAATGCAAAATTTTTAAGAAAAACTTGCAAGTAATGTGTAAAGAATAGCTCCCCTTTGATCATCAGTTTCTGAAGCGACCTTTCCTATGGTGTGATTGGTTGAAATTAAAAGCATTTCACGGGTGTTTGTTACTTAGAGGTATTAAAGCAGAGAGGTATAAACTTTGACTAGCTGTGTCTCACTTGTTTTTAAAATGGTATTGGCTTTATGTTTTGGAAGAAGTGACTAACTGGAAACCAGATGTCAAATATACAAGCCTCTCTACTGTCCAGTGCCTAAAGAAAAATGTAAACGTCTACAAGTTGGTGCTTCTGCCACATGAGGCAGAAGTGTAAGTAGTTTGTGTAGTAGTTTGTACTTTTGCTCCAGTGGAAATGCCATATGGTTTTGTGTTATTCTGTCCTTGGCTGAAATGGAACACACTGTTACATGCATGGCTGATTGACTTAGTTGTGCAGAGATGAGCAGTGGAACCTGTTAACAAAAGTACCCTGCATAACCTACTTTTTTGTATTCATTCATTCGATGGACAACTGGATAGAAACAGAAGCCAAGTGCCGTGGCAAATATCTTGCTAAATAACCAAGTGTAAAAGAAAGTGCCCACACCAACTGTTTACCTCTAACTGATGAGCATGGATTAGTTAAGACTGAAGTGCATTCATATGGAACTTGGTAGTGGAAATCCAGCATTTTGAGAAAAACTGACTCAGCTTCTTGTCTTTTGAAAAAACATTTAGTATAGTGGGGCTTAATAAATGCTCGAACTTACAGCTCTTTTTTTTTTTTTCTTATTCTTTCTAAGGATATTTGTTGAGCTCTCCTTTGGGCTGCATGTGATTATTCTTTTTGCTTTTGTCCTTTTAATCAGGTTTATGTACTGGACTGAGTGGGGTGGTAAGCCCAAGATTGATAGAGCTGCTATGGATGGCAGTGAGCGGACTACTTTGGTACCAAACGTGGGACGTGCTAATGGCCTAACTATTGACTACGCTAAAAGACGACTGTACTGGACCGACCTTGATACCAACCTGATAGAATCGTCCAACATGCTAGGTGAGCCCCAGAGCCCTGGGCAGAGTCGTGGGGGTGATGCTGCTTTTTCACAGTTCCCTATGGCAAATTATTGCTTAAATAATGCAAAGATACACATCTGAAGATAAAAATAGATATTTTTTTTTCCAAGCTCACACGTCTTTAACATCTGCTTCTATAATTGATGTTTATGCAACACAGCATTTAGCAAGGCCTCGATTTTCTTGTAGCTCGTATAGCCGCTCAAAGGTAAAATTATACAAGCTGTACATGTTTTCAGCTATATGTAGGACAAAGCTGTCAACTTTCAGTGTTTTGGAGAGTCTTGTTTTGCTGCTCTGAAGAGCACTGGCAAATACATAACGAACACTTCATCATCTGTAGAAAGGTAAAAGGAGAGCCAAGATAATAACAACTTATTGGACATTTTTCACAATGTGATTTAATACATTTTTGGGCTTTAATCTTTGTTGGTATCCTCAGGGTTCAGGCTTTTTTTTCCCCCCACACTAAGGAGCTTTTCCTGGCAAGTGCTGGTCACCAGGGGGGCTCTGTCTCACACTGGAGTCTGTGTGATTGTTTTATAAACTGTTCATTACAGCTAAAAATTGGAGTGGAATATTTTATTCTTGCAGTGTCCTGAGGGCCCAACCCCTCTCAGATTTGCACAGTGTCTTTTTTTTTTTAAGTCCTTGGAACTCACAGGAGTGGACTGCCTTGTTGTATTGCACACTTATTCAGATTAGCATTATCACTAGCCTATATTTAAGGCTAAAGGAGTTAGTCTGCTTTAAACAATACATTTGCAACAGTGGAACAAAGCTAGAAAAGGTGAAAACAGGAAAAGTACATTATAGGAATTACATGTAATATAAAAGCCTTTCTTCAGCTTCTGGTGTATTTTGACATGTTGTTGAGGCTGGCTCAGTGTTCCACCGTACACAGTGGAGCTGGACATAGCATTAGAATTTCAACTTCCCTGTGGCTGGGGATGGCAGAGTGCAGGGCTGTATGGCCTCAGCTTCTCTGGGCAGAGGGAATGGCTTCTTGCTTCATAATCTCCCACTCACTTACTGTGACTAGACAGCATGGTAATGAAGGGGTGGAAATCATTTTCCTCTGCCATGCCCTGCTTCTTAAGATCTCTTAGTGTTTCCATGGTGTACACACTTAACTGCTTCCTCCCTTGAGTTTCTACCTCTCCCCCTTTCAGCTCTTCCTCTCACAACATTCCAAAGACAAGTTAGTTTAACCTTGTGCATTTAATATTTCTCACAATACAGTGTAGGTTTTTATTAAGCTCGTAACAATTCTTCAGCTGTAAACAGTGGGTGTGGTGCCTGAGATGCTGAACTGGGAACACGGCATCAGGAGCCTTTTTCTCCTTCTGAGGGAACCTGTTTGTTTTGGGGAAGGAGGGAAAGGACAGTCTTTCTAAGAACCTTCATAATTTTCTAAACTGTGATTTTTTTTCTGTAGTAAAATACATTGTCTTCTGTGAATCACAGGCAGTGTTATCACATTTCTGTGCTAGGCTCTGGGACTTCAAGATTGTCTTCTGAGTATTATACATTATAATTTACTTTTGTAATAATAAAATAGTAACCTTAAAGTAATGGTGTGTTAACCTCTCTGTGCAGGGCACGTGTCCAACAATATTAAACAGCACATCGTTTTTCCCTGTATAATTCTGCTTTTTCTCTCCCTTCCGTTTTGGAAACAGGCCTTGACCGTGAGATTATAGCTGATGACTTGCCTCACCCGTTTGGCTTGACTCAGTATCAGGATTACATTTACTGGACAGACTGGAGCCGGCGTAGCATTGAACGAGCCAACAAAACCAGTGGCCAGAACCGCACTATCATCCAGGGGCATTTGGATTACGTTATGGACATCTTGGTCTTCCATTCCTCCAGGCAGGCAGGCTGGAACGAGTGTGCCTCTAGCAATGGCCACTGCTCTCACCTGTGCTTGGCAGTACCTGTTGGGGGTTTTGTCTGTGGCTGCCCAGCTCACTATTCCTTGAACGCTGACAACAGGACTTGTAGCGGTAAGCCATGATTGATGCGAAAAACCAGAGAAGCGGATTTGTTTAGTAGGAGATGCAAACATTGTCCTTAGAGGAAGGAGGAGTTCGGTGTGAGATGGTGAAGCTTGTTTGCTGACAGGCCAAGTTAAAGCTAGTTTCTCTTTTTAATACTGAATGTGTATTTGAAAAAATGTGGGTTCCTTTGCCTCCCCTCCTCCATAAGAAGCAGGATAAATGACTGGATAAAGATGGCAATGAAAATAGGTCTTTTTAAATGTAGTTTTCTAGTACTAAAATCCTACTGACTTCTAAGAGAAGATAGGATATTGAAAACAAAAAAACCCAAACGTCTTGCAACACATCACCGTAAAATGAGTGGCTGTCATTGTCACCTTTTCAATGACTTAGCTAACTCTGTGTACACAGGAAAGCTCACAATGCTTTTGGGTTTGTGTCTGTCAAACCCTCCTCAAGTGCTTACTTGCTTGTTTATTTATCTACTTATTTGTTTTTAATCTTGGCTGACATAAAGGATATGCGATAGTTTGGTCTGTACTCTGGACTTTGTGCAGCCTTCAGGTGGTCAAGTTTTAATTCTGTAGCAGCTGCGTTTGCTGGCTGATGAGATGCTGAGGTGGGCCACTCATGACCCTAAAAACGTGTCTTCCTCAGTGAGGAGAGGCTTGGCTCCATGGCCTCCCCAGCATTTCAGATTTCTGATCTTGGGGCAGCCAAGCCCAATTTTTCTTTATTGTTGCACAGGATGTGAACCGCAGGGCCCCTCAGGCTGTGTGTAATTAGCTTCTAACCAAATAATTTATCCATCTCTCAATAACTTGCTGCCAGTGAAGCTCTCATAATTTTGGCAGCCACACTGGATGGCTGATTTCCACTGGTGTCATTCAGATTAGTCAGCGGGTGAAGGGACTCGTGGTACAGAGAGACAGATTATATCTTGTCCACATTATGCATGAGGAGTGAGATCCAAGTGTTGTTTTAAAGCCAGAAGCAGGGCAGCTTGTTCCAAGAATGCCACCTCATGGCATTTTTTGAAAATTGTGCCTTTCAGAAGACTCTGCTTTTCCACCCCGCCATGTGTCCTGTGCTCCTCTTTTCATTTTTATTACAAGGGGCAAATCAGTGACCACTGGATTCTTATGCTCTAACACTCTCACGCTTTCCTGAGAGTTAAGAGGCATGGCTGGCACCTCTCCGGTGATGACTGTGATTTTTGTAGGTGGAGAAATTTGACTTCCAGCAGATAAGAAGCAAAATGATCGAAGGTCATGTTTTCTTGTGAAAGTGCTCTTGGAAACAAAGGCAGGAGAAAAATACAGGAAATATGTTGTGAGCAGGTAGAACCATTTCCTAGTGGTACAGTTCAGGGCCATTCGTGAGGTATTAGGAGTTTTCTTTCTGCTCCATTCAGACCTGGGAGCTTTCCAACTCCTCATTTGCAGGTAATTGGAGACAGACTTCTCTGCATTTTTTTTTTCTTGGCCACTATAATTGGAACTTTCTCTTGCCTGTTTTACTTTGCTTATGTGCTTCTGAACATTATTATTAGCTGAAGCCCTGTCTAGAGGCCAGTTCCTTCCTTTCTGCATTACTCTGCTCATTCATGCATAGATTCTAAGGTCCCTTCCAGCCTAGGCCATTCTGTGATTCTTTTCATTATGGGAAGGACATGCTGCTCTGATGAGATCCGGTATCTCGACAGAACTACCCCGTGTCAGGAAGTTTGAAGGCAGTATTACACGGGAGACGTGTTCTTTGCACTCCGTTCGCCTGCCAGAACAATATAGTTAAAACACGTGACTCTTGGGAAGGAGAACTGTGAAAACTGGAAGGGGATTTCTGAAACTGGTACTGTTACAGAGATGTGGGGACTCAAGGGGGGAAATTCTGCTGTTGCTTTTTTTTGTAATGAGCCATCAGCACAAAGGTGGAAGCCAGCCAATCCCAGACAGAGGAGGTGTATTTTGGGGGGACCTTGGAGAGAATTTTAGGTGCTTATGATGATATGTTTACTTGCACTGTTTTATCTTAAGCATTTTTTCCCTTCCGTTACTCTCTTAAATGCTTGCTAAGACTTTGGATGTTTTCTGAATCTATTATTTTGCTGCACACATTCATATAGGCTTTGCTTTGCTTTTTTGTTTGCTTTCTTCTACAGTTTAGACCTAAGCAGAGGGCAGCTTAAATTATTGGGGAAATACAGGTTTTCCAGAAAGCAAAAATATCTTGCAATTAGACCTGATTGTTATAGGTCGTTAAGATTGAGTGTTAGTTACCAAGGAAACTCCCCCCAACCTTTTTTTTTTTTTCTTTTTTCCTAGCAACCAGAATAAATGTTCAAAGCGTATGCCTAGAATAACAAAGCCAGGTGATGATGTTCTCTGAAAGACTTTTGCTACCTCCCTTTTCCAAGGTGCTGCCTTACCTGTTTTACATGCTGGACTGAATGAGTGCAGTGTCCCACTGCTAATCTCTCCAGATTTGTGCTGTAGAGAATTGATTGTACAAACTTCAGGGAGGCTGCAAACTGCATTTCTGGCTGCTGGCTCTTGTCTTGCGCAGCAGTGGCTCCAGCTAGACCGTTGTTGAAAAGAACTCTGTGAAGAGGAAAAAATGCTTTAACTACCTCCTCTGATTTCTGACCCAGTTGTGTAATACAGGAATAATTTCTTTTTAATGATGTATTAAATGCCTTGTGCGCTTACTGTAAGACACAGACAGTAAAACTACTGCTGTGTGGGGTGGAGAAGCCTTATTTTCTGATGTTTGGTGGTATTTCTTAGAAAAAAATTAATCATTTTTCCAGGAGTTTTTTGCTGGGCATCTGGAAAGTTGGAGCTGAACATCAGTTTCCTCTTCTTTCCCTTTCCCCCTACTCTGATTGCAGGTTAGCATTCCCAGGTGACCACCTACTAATAAGAAAGATACACAAATCTGAGAAGAGTGAACAGATTTTTCTCCGAAAATGCAGCCTTGCACACACCTAATTGCTTTTCCTGTGAATTAGTTGTTGTTCCATTCCGGTAGAGGCAGAAAAAAGGTTTGTTGAAACAAGGCTGAACCACTGTAATGGCAACCTTTTTTCCCTGCAGCCTCTAAATAAGGAACCAGTGCTGGCTTTTGCCCAGCTTCCTCTGCAAGTAGAATTGTAGCTAGCAAAAAGTTCAGCTTCAAAATAGTGGAGTTGCATTTCCCTGAGACACTTTTTAAAGAAAATTGACAGTTCTTAAAGACGCATGGTTGACCATTCTTTGAGGTAATTTTGAGAGAAGTCTTCACATTCATTAGTCCTGCAGCTTACAAAATTATCTTTCCCTGTCACATCCACATTCAGACATTTATAGTAAAAAGAGGTAATTTGATAGGCTTTCCATACTGATGAGAGGTTGGGATTTTTATGTTCCATTTTGAATTTTTTTTAATGGTTTTTTGGTTTGTTTTTTTTTTTAGCAAAGGTAGAGGAAGAGGTGGAATGAAGTAATAGGTGCTGTCTAGTTATATATATTAGTTTTTGTCATTGAACATACAAATACCTAACGTTACTGCTGTGTGTAATACTTTCACCCTTTTAATGTTTTGTTTGGTTTTTTTAACCCATCAAGCTCCTACAACCTTTCTGTTGTTCAGTCAGAAGAATGCAATTAATCGCATGGTGATAGATGAGCAGCAGAGTCCAGATATCATACTCCCCATCCATAGTCTCAGGAACGTTCGAGCCATCGATTATGACCCCCTGGATAAGCAGCTGTACTGGATTGATTCTCGGCAGAACATCATCCGGAAGGCACAGGAAGACGGCAGCCAGGTATCCTGCGGGTGATGGAATTACTGAAAGATGAGAAAGGAGCACCCAGCGCCCAACAAAGAATGATTGTACATGAATAATTCAGATACATGGACTCCCTCTAGGTTACTACCTCTAACTTGGGAAAACAAGTGGCTTCTGGAATTCCTGGAGCCCTCAGCAAGTAATCTAGGAGGTGCAGCAAGAAATAAAACGTGAAAAACTAAAGCAAACTTACAGATACCATTGTTCACGGTGCATTATGTGCACCGTGCACTGTTGCTTGATGCTGTTTTCTGGCTAGGGGTTGTTGGAAAGCCCTATTTGAGAGAAGTGAAGCACAGAAGGGAAAGTTCTTGGGAGAAACTGAGTGTGTGAGAGAGAAGGAAGAGTTACAAAGGAGCAGGGTGCAAGGGCATTGACTCTGAAATGAAGAAGGTGGGACTCTGAGCACATGGCTGTGTCTGAAGCCTCCCAAGTTCTGGTGGGAACAGTAAAAGAGATGTTATCAACCACCGAGGCACTGGGTGAGGAGACTGAAGCCTGTTAGGATGTAGCAGGCTTGAGAAAATGTATTTGACAGGAATACAGAAAAAGCAGAGTACTGTATAAGGCAAAATGTGATACACGTTTAGTGAGGTGAACTGTGAGAAATTATCGTTTATTCGTTTTCATATTTTAAAGTAGTTTAGGGGTTTTTTTCTTGATTTTTTTTGAATGAGGGAGGAGTGGGAGGCTAAGATGAACAGCATGGAGGTGCTATATTCAGTTGAGTTTGTAAGAGACTGTTTTCTGGTGGTGGGTGTGATGATAGTTGGATCCTGACTTCAAACTTAACTCTTAATTTAGCAATAGTTTTACTTTTGCGATATCTAAATATTTTAACGCCCAAGACTAGTCAAAGGCACCGGGTTTTTGCCAGCTTCAACAGAATAAACAAGGGTAAGACTTGTAGGCACACTCTTTTGTAGAGGTGACAAGCCAAATAAAATTAGGCAAAATTTCTGGTGAAGTTTAATTTAGGGATGAGAGAGTGAAGGCTGCTCACTTCGAAAGTGTAAATTTTCAAAATAGATTATGTAAGGCCTCCAGTTTTTTTGAAAAGTTCACGAAAGATGCCAGTTAGGTTCACCTTTCACTGTAGGGAGACTATGCAGTTTCTTTGTAAAAAAATAATAAGCTAGAAAAAAGAAAGGCATGTGAACTCCAGAGGTCTGGACCAGTAGAAAGCAGAAAGGTGTTAGCTAGAAATGCTCTAAAATCGTTGTACGCTAGTAGCTGATGTCCTTTCTGTCTGTTGGCAGAGTTGCTTTCCCTTTGGTTAATCATCCTTATATTATGTCCCCCAAGTGTGATGGTAGCAATGATGAAGAATAAGGCAAGAGTTTCAAGTGCTGCCAGACCTCACTTTGCCTGTGTTTTCATGCATTCAGCTGCAGCTTTGGGAATTAGTGGTGATGCATTTCTGTTGAAGAGCGCTAAGTGTTCTGGGTTTGGGTCTGTCCAAGCTGAACTTGTAAAGAAAGCAAAGGAAATGCAGAAGCTGAACCTGAAGCTTCAACATAGAGACAATTAGATCTTGTTGGTCAAATTTCTAAGTTGGTTGCAGCTCCTCAGACTTAGCATGATTGCCACTACACCAAGCCATCAGGACTAAGTGTCTGTATCTGATTAAAGGTATTGCTGGGGCAACTGGACCTCCTGGGTGCCTCCTTATTGTATGATAGTATTTTAGCCCCCTTGTTTTCCTGAGCAGTAGTTTGATGTGATGCATCCATAGCAAATAAAATTGCTCACAAGAGATAAGATTAAATGCTCTTCTGTGAATTGGTTTTTTTCTTTCCTTTGTAGAGCCTCACTGTTGTGACGAGTCCGGTTCCCAATCAGAACCTAGATATGCAGCCGTATGATCTGAGCATTGACATCTACAGCCGTTACATCTACTGGACCTGCGAAGCTACTAATGTGATCAATGTGACACGCCTGGATGGGAGACCCATGGGAGTGGTCCTCAAAGGAGATCATGATAGGCCCAGAGCCATTGTGGTGAATCCAGAGAAAGGGTATGGGACTGAAACAGTCATGTGGGGAAATTCAGGCTGAAAGTCTTGAGAATCATGTTTTCTTGCTGCAGGTTATTTCTATTTGCCAGTGTAAAAAAAAAAAAAGAAAACAAAACCTTTGACATTTGTTAAGATATTTTGGTCATACAGCAAAATATGGGAAGACCAATAAACTTTTTCTCCTCTAATCATTCCTATTCCAGATACATGTATTTCACCAACCTACAAGATAGGTCTCCTAAAATTGAGAGAGCAGCGTTGGATGGAACTGAACGAGAGGTCCTTTTTTTCAGCGGTTTGAGCAAGCCCATAGCCTTAGCTATTGACAGCCAGCTAGGCAAGTTGTTCTGGGCTGATTCAGACCTGCGGAGAATTGAAAGCAGTGACCTTTCAGGTAGAGTAGCACTTTAATTCAGTGATTCATTTGTGTGGTGTGGGTGTGGGGGAATGCAGAGAAAGATGTCGTCTTTTCCTTCCTACTATAAACAGTCTGTACTGTGATACTAATCGTTCCCTAAATTCCCAGCAAGGGAATGTGCATGATTCATCCAGCATGCCTTTACAGTCTCATGCCTCTATCTATGATTTGCATTATTAATTGCTACACATGCTATTTACTTTAGTTTCTCACTGCAAGACCTTCCTGTGGTTTCCCAAAGTCAGCTCACAGAAAAATTGCAGCAGTTTTGGAAAGGGGAGGGAGAGAGAGTTGTTTTTAAAGACATAGATTTTGGTGCAGTAATCTGTCAATCAGAGGAAAGTTTGCCATTAGTGGGAAAATCTTTCCTGCAGAATTAAAGCAGCAGGTGTACAGGTCACTTATTTATCTGTCATTTAGGATGAAATGATGTGAGAAGAATAGAGCAGATCTAGTGTCTCTCTGGTCTCAAAAGGCAAAAAACTCCCTCTTCCAGCTATGGAATTCTCTTTACCTGCTCCCTAAGGTTGTCTGAACTCCTCTATGAGTTGATTCAACTCGCTTAACCACATAAACAAAACAATAATAACAATATACAGAAAAAGACAAGTAGAGAACAGGGTTCTCTTGGTTTGGAAAGCTGAACTGGCCCAGGAAAGAGTCTAGCAGGCAACTCGAACTGGAGCAAGAGAGGAGGGAAGATCATGCAGTCAGACTGGGTGAACTGATACCAAGATGTCTACTCTTTACTAGCCAGATCCAGCAAGCTGGTGGATCAGCTCAGCTGTCTCACGTGGCTTCGGTTGTAATTTGCTGTGATATGAGTTGGGCTGGATGTTGCTGCTGAGAGTGACAGGACGTTCTGAGCATGTACGTACCCACCTCTGTTAGGTGGGGGGGGAAGTTTGCCCACCTTGCGCTGCTGCAAGTGGAGGGCAGTGGCAGAATTTCTCCTTCCTCTGCAGCAAGTCCATCCCCACTTGGAGTAGTGCATGGCCTTGTACTTCAGCTGCGTGTTATGTGTAAGGAAAGAAGGACATGCTTTGCAATCTGTGAGCGATTTTGAAAACAAGAGTACAGTAGTTTCTAGTAATTTCTTCCACCGATGACATGATACCTTCATTCAAAATAGCAGCATGTAAACCTTTTGTCGCCACTGTGATCTTCAGCCTTTTATTAAGTTGCTAGAATAACTTGGTTTTGGAAAACGTTTCAGTTTTTCTAAATGGTTGGAATTGAGGCTAAGCAAGATAGTAATTTTTGTCAGTGATTCACGTGATGTGTCACTGGAAGATTCAGGGTCACTAATGAATTGCGATATCCTCTGTATTAGGAATAGTGTGGCCAGTAGGAGCAGGGAAGTGATTGTGCCCCTGTACTTCACTTTGGTGAGGCCTCATCTTGAGTACTGTCTGCAGGTCTGGACTCCACAGCGCAGGAAGGACATCGAGGTGCTGGAGAAGGTACAGAGAAGGGCAACCAGAATGATTAGGGGACTAGAGGGTGAGTCTTATGAAGAGAGGCTTAGGGAGCTGGGGCTGTTCAGCCTGGAGAAGAGGAGGCTGAGGGGAGACCTTATCGCTCTCTACAACTCCCTGAAAGGCAGCTGTAGTGAGATGGGTGCTGGCCTCTTCTCCCTAGTAAATAGCGACAGGACAAGAGGGAATGGGTTCAAGTTGCACTAGGGGAAGTTTAGATGGGATATTAGGAAAAGGTTCTTCACCAAAAGGGTGGTGAAGCAGTGGAATGGGTTGTCGAGGGAGGTGGTGGAGTCATCATCTCTGGCTGTGTTTAAAAACCGGCTGGATGTGGCACTTCAGGAGATGGTTTGGTGTTAGGGAGGTGTAAGGCTGTAGATTGGACTTGATGATCTTAAAGGTCCTTTCCAACCTTGATGGTTCTATGATTCCATTGTAAAACAAAGGACATGACTGGAGTTAGTAAATTAATCTAAAAAATTTGAAAATGTGCTCTGCTGTATCTCAGTATTTTCTAGGATATCCCAGATCTTGGGTCTGCATGAGTAAAGTAATGGGCAGCAGAACATCACACGTGCTTTATTTCTCTCTTTGGCTGTTATCTGCCAGATGTGAGGACACCAGAGAGGAGATGGGTCTAAATTCTAATTCAGTCTGAGTTTAATGATTCTGGGGCTTTTTTTATTTGGTTTTTTTTTTTTCCTTAAAGATGTGGCTGTTGGATCAGCAGTATTGTGTAGCAAACGCTGATGATATTTTTGAAGAACGTGAAGAAAAATCATTCCAAAACCTCTCTTGCTTTTTGGCATTTGCATCGCAAATAGACTGCTATAATCACCATGATAAATTCCTAACTGCCGAGATGCATTCCTGTGCTTAGGAATGCTGATTAATACGCTCTTTTGACCAGCAGAGTTATTTTTCTGCACGTTAGCTTCTTGAAAACATGCACAGTCTCTTGCTCTGCCGACTCCATAGATGCCAGTACCCACAGAGAGAAGGAGAGCTAGAATGCCTTTCATGTGATGCTGTCCTTCTCTTCCTCCCTGTCCTTCAGGCATGCAGTTAGGACTTGGTTCTGCAGCCCAAATGGGAGATCCTATTGAAGCTAACCAGATTCTTTACATGATTAAGAGTTTTTTTGTTAAAAGATGACTGGAATTCCCTGCCATGGAAACTATTTGGAAATTAGCTTTTTTTATTCCAGAATAATTGATGTGATTTGGAAATGTCTAATGATTCTGGAATTAACTAATTTTTGTTTGGAAAGAGAATGAGCTATGGGTGTGTCTGGAATTTTGTATTTATTTGGTTGGTTTTAAGTCTTTTTGTAGAAGGTATTGCTGGAAAGAGAGTGTTGATGCCAGGAGATAAATCTCCTCTTAATCACATCTCCCTTTCATCTGACATTCCCAATAAGGAGGAGTAGCACCCTGATGCGCCAACTTTGGATTTTATTGTTGGTTTATGGAAGAAGGGATTTCAGTGTCTAGTTTAGTCAGAAATAGTCGGTTACACTTGGTCACAAATATGAAAAAGAGAGATTAAGACATTAAGGGAGTGAACATTTTAAGCTTCAGAGCTTTAGGAGCATACTGCAAGCTGCGTGCTGATTGACATGGGCATAGCAGAGCAGGCCATGTACAGACTCCGTTTGGGTAGGTCAAGGTCTTAGTTTTAACTATATTCCATGCTGTCATCTTCACATTTTCCCGTATTCCTAGCTTAGCTTTTCTTCTCCTCAAGATTCAGGTTGCTGTTTCTTACCTTTTCCCTATACAGTGAGTCATGTTCATGGGGGTTAATAGACGGTTGCAGTTATTTAGTTTGACTTGCATCACTTGGTTTATTGATTTCTACATCAGTCTGCATATAGGCTCCTTCAGAATCCATCAACATATTTCCTTAATCAGATCATTGCTGGTGCTGTTCCAAAGTGGTGGGCGAGAGCCTGGTCTAGATGAGGAATAATATTTGAATTTCTGTGTTCTACTTTAGAAGTTACCACTTGCTAAATGTTTGGAAGGTTACTTAACTTCTGAGCTCTGTATGCATTTAGTGGAAAGGAGATAAATACAGTTTTCGTAGCTGAATTTGTTTGTAAGTCGTTGTCACTGACATATACTGTTGATTAGATTCTCAACAAGCCCAAAAAAATTCTTGCAGAATGGATAGCAGAGGGATACTCAAATTATAAAGTCGTGAAATATATATGTGTCTTTTGTCCCTTAACATTATCTTGTGTGGATATGATAGGAGACATGGTAGATTTATTTTTTTCTGTGGTATTCAGTTGTACTGGTATATTCTTACAGGGCAAAATATGAAAACTTATTGGAAGTTGTTTTGTGGATGAACATATGCAAAGCTATTGTCTGCTCTAGTAGAAGTGAAAAATAAGCATAGCAGTCAGCCCAGATATCTGAAATGCCAGGATTTATGTACAAATTTTCAAGCTGTAGCCTAAGCTTAGACTGCGTGGTATTGTTTCAACATTTCAAAACTGAAGCAGATTCCTTATGTTTGTGAGTAATTTTATGCTCAGAATCTGATAAATCTCACTGAATATTTCCCTGTTAATGATCGTGTCATATCCTGTAAAATAAATGAAGCGTGGATTAAACCTCAGTCCTGAGCTCTCAGGTTTTCAATAACGTATTTTTCTTCTGCATATGAGTTAGGAAGTCTTCACTGTCTTTGGACAGTCATTAATGATACCTTTACTAAAACAGCTCTGGAGTGTCTTCTGTTTATGTGTAGTGTTAACCTTGAAATGTGACAGCTGCTCTTGACTATGTTTAATGTCAGGTAATCTAACATAAAAGTCAACAAATGCTCTTGAGAGGTGTAGTGTCTCTTGGCTGCTACCGATGATTGCTAAAGGAACTGAGGAAAGCAATCCTGTGCTAGGAAGAAAGGAGCATTCCCTATTTAGCATGAAAACCGTAGTGAAGATAATGTAGTTGAAAGAATGTGAAGAAGTCAGAAGTCAAGTGTTTACCTTAATCTCGTAATTCATTTGAGAAGTACTAACTACCTTGTCTTCACTTGGATTTTATCTTGTATTAGTTAACTCAAGCTAATAATCCATCTTCTTATTCCCTGTTGTATGCCGAGACAAAGCAGTTAATCTCTCAAAAAAAGGAGAGTAGAATGAAAAGAATTAACCAATTCCCATCATATCGATAAAAGACTGGATAGGCTTATGATAGCTGAGCCCCCAACTCTAGATGCTTCTTAAATACAGTAAATGCATTTGAAGCACAAAAACTGTTGTCTTGATCGAAGCTATAAAAAAATGTGATCATCTGTCTAGAAAATGCATCAGTCTTACATCAGAGGCCCTAGGATTACTAGTGTTTTTATAGTAGGCTTACTTGGCATTGCAAAAGGTGTAGAAAATAGTGGTGTGTGTAGTGTAGAAAATGTTTGTGATGGTATTTCAGTTCATTTGAGTTGAGCTAAACCACTCCTTCCCTTCTTCAGGTGCTAACCGGATTGTTTTAGAAGACTCTAATATCTTGCAGCCTGTGGGACTAACTGTGTTTGAAAACTGGCTGTATTGGATTGACCGGCAACAGCAGATGATTGAAAAGATTGATATGACTGGTCGAGAAGGACGTACAAAGGTCCAAGCTCGTATTGCACAACTCAGTGACATCCATGCTGTGAAAGAGCTCAACATTCAGGAATACAGTAAGTGCAATCCCTGTCTGCAAGCGTGAACAGTGCCTTTGGGGCTTGGGCCAAGGAGTGGCTGCAGAGAGATGAGCCTGTTTTGCCTTGTCACTGATCAGCATCGGTGTGGAAGGGGCCAGAAATTGGTATCGTTTTGTGTCTGTACATTGCCGGGGTGCAGTTAAGTTTATTTTTTCAGGAAGTTGTCAATGGACTGGGAATCTATCTCCAACTCAGCAGCGCATTTTGTTGCTTATAACAACTTTATTGCTAGTCCCATATAGGTACCTGGCATCTGAGTGTCTGTAGGCACAATGGAAACATCCTGTTACCCCTCGTGTAGGATTTTCTAGATCATGCTAGTGAGTTGCTGTTAGGCGTTTACTCCATTTAGACAAGCTCGGCTCTAGGGGCCTTTTGCTGGCAGTAAATGTTTCAGTGGATGGCCTGCCTTGAAGGCGAAGTGAACAACCCTTGTCGTGACAATTTGTATTGGAAGTCAGTGACAGAAAAGCAATGTTGCATTGAGCAAAGGAAGTGTGTATTAAATAACGATGTGCTGAACATAGCTGTGCTTGGAAAAGTTATCTGTTTAACAGACTATATCTTCCACACGCACACGGGCTAGAAACGATGGGAGCTGGATGGTTAAAGCAGTGAAGCTGCCATCATCCTGGAGGAAATAAGCCTGGTTAATAGGCTGTGGTGCATGCCTTGGAGACATATGTAGAAAAATGTCTGGGGATGTTTAATTAAAGCATCGGTGCAGACTACTACTAGTTTTGTTTGCTATTAATCTCAGTGAATCTGTCAGGAGTTCCAAGAGAAGTATGTTGTCCTTATTAAACATTAAAATGAAGAGACATATTTATCTAGAGCATGTTAATTTGAGTTTCAGAGACAGTGTGGAACCTTCAGAATTCATAAATTAGAAAAGTTTACTTTTAATGGTCTTTGATAGAGAAAATGAAGTATGGGATCCAAGGCATCTTCTTGTATTACTAATGCTACTACTCTTGCTGCAGAGAACTAATTCTGCCTCACACAAGAAGAAAACTACTTTGTGTACTGTTTCAGTAGACCCCCATGGCATGATTCTTATAGTGTTTCAGGTCATGGACAGGTATTGATGTGCATGATATTGATATATGTAAAGGGAAAAAATATGACAAAATAGAACTTTTTCAGAGTTGTTTTTAGTAGTGCTCTTCCCAGGGAAAAGAAGTAATGAAAGGGAGTCCTGTGAGCCCAAAGAAGTCACTGACAGGTCAGAAAAGAGATGGGGTTTTCTTGTCAGTATCTGCATTTCTTATTTTTAAAATCACAGGACAACATCCTTGTTCTCAAGATAATGGCGGCTGCTCGCACATTTGCATCGTGAAGGGCGACGGCACCACGCGCTGCTCTTGCCCAGTCCACTTAGTTCTGCTGCAGGATGAGCTGTCCTGTGGAGGTAAGTCCTGCCCATACTCTGTGGCACTGAGCTCTCTGCTTCTAGTTTGGGGGGTTCTCCCTCCTTCAGGGGTGGCTTCTGAGCAGAGAGAATGTAGCAGTGCCCCAAATGCTCTTACACATTTTCACACGCTTACCTCTTTGCCTCTGCCCCATCTGTATCCGCAAGTATTGAGAAAGAGTAAGAGAAGAGGAAAAACTTGCTGTTGGAAGTTGACTGTTGAATAAAGATTTCTGTTTGCCCTTCCTGCTAGAATTAGTTCAAACCGATTTTTTAATTCTCTGGCTTCTATTACTTTTTTTCCTATTACTCTGTACATTCTTGTTTTTCACATAGTGGTAGATTCTTACATTCTGGCATATTGCACTATGTCTGTGCCATGTTATTCTTCTCTGCTCTTACTTCTCAAAGTCAGCCTGTGCATGTCTTTGTAAGCTGCTGTCCGAGAAGGGCAAGCTGCCTCCTCCGTGGTGATACAACCACTGGAGCCTACACCCTCATGTCTCCAAGGGTGGAGCTGAAATGGGGGAGAGGAGAGGCACTTTGGTGCTTGGGTCTCTTTGTGCCACCATACTGAATGGATTTTATTATGCAATCTTCTAGCCATCAAGGCGACGTGTGGTCTCACAATGGAACAAGAGCTAACATAATCCAGATACTTTCTCAGAGCAAGTTTAATACCAGGCCAAAAAGGGGGGGAGGAAAGGAGGATTAAAAAAGGGGGGGGGGGAAATCCACACTTACTGCATGAGATTAACAGTTACTGTACTAGATGTTAAATAACAGCTAACAGCTGTGTTGCGATAGTTGTGACTTGACTAGATGGAGCGCTGTTTTTGTTGTTTTAAAAGAATTTTGACTGAACAGAGCTGTTGAGGGCACATAACTAGACATTGAGTCACAGGGCATCCATCTGCAGTGCATTACGTACTTCTGATGTTTTCTATACAGTGACTGTCGAACATTAAAAAGGAAGTGAACAGGCAGTTGTGTATACAGCAGTGCTGCAGGAAAAGGGGGAGTAAAAAAGTGTGTTGAGTTTAAATGAAGAATTTTTAAGACCTACTAAAATGAGGGTGTGGGAGGCTGAAGTAGGAAGGGAAGAAAATAATTGTTTCGAGTGTATATGTTTCTCTGTTCCTCTTGCTCTTTGTCTAATGTCCATTGATGTGAGCTTGCATCAGACATGTGAGGCCCGAGATCTGCAGAAATGACTGTAGAGGCAGCGGGGTGGAAATTACCTTATGAATGGCACATTTGTCAGCTGCTTGATAAACAAAAGCAGCTGAGCTCTTCTTGTCCTTACCTGTCCTGATGTGCTGTTTGTTCACCTGGATTTTTAATTTTTGTTTGTTTGCTTGATTTTTAAAGAACCACCAACATGCTCCCCTCAGCAGTTCACCTGTTTCACAGGTGAGATTGACTGCATCCCGGTGGCCTGGCGCTGCGATGGTTTCACTGAATGTGAAGACCACAGTGATGAAAAGAACTGCCCCGTGTGCTCAGACGCACAGTTCCAGTGTGAAAGTGGACAGTGTATAGACAGTGCCCTCCGGTGCAACGGAGAAGCAAATTGCCAGGACAACTCCGATGAGAAGAACTGTGAAGGTACAGAGAATCTTTCAGACTGTGGTGAAAACAGAGCTGTCATGGAGAATCTGTGATAAATGCCAAAGCTATTGCTGAGTAGGATGTGAAAGGATCTGAGATTTTGCCAGTTTTTAAACTGGTCTATTAAATGGGAAATTATCTCACAACTCCATACTTTTGTTTCTCCACCCATGAAATGGAAACACTGATCTCCTGCACAGTGGTTTAAACTCTATTTGTGAAAAAGTACTGTTAAAGATTATATGTTTTTAAACTCTAAAACCCGGCTAACTGGGAGTGAATTACAAAGTGGAGCAAATCCTTGTCGTAGTTTTTGGTGCTCTTTGTTACCTAGTAAAGGTTGTTTGTTTTATATTACCTAAACAAACTGAAGTTAGGCTTTTCTGAGTAAGCTGGAGTGAGAGTATTTAAGCTGTTGCTACAGAGGGAAGTGCTGTGGCCAACACAATGAGAATGAGGGTCTCTTAATTTTGGAAAGGGCAGGTTACACTGGTGGAAGCTGAACTACCCCATCACTATACAATGTGAAACATGAGCAAACTAGTGAAGACTTCTGGGAACAACTTGTAAGCTTGAAAGGATGCCTTTTCTCTATAGTATTTCAGTACGTTTTCCTCCTTTGAAGAGAGTGTCTAAGGGTCTTTGAATCAAGGCTGAGCTTCTTTCCAAAAGATGTGCTACAGCTCAAACAAAAACATACAGACCAGTGCAGAAATTCCTGAGTGATGAAAGTGGATTGTTAGCCAGGCAAGATGCTGACAACTGAAAATGTGTTGTGCAAGTTGGCTTTCAGTTGCTGTCCAGTGACTGCAGATATCAGACTAGGGGCTGGTTTTCACATTCAAAGTGGCCCTGTTATTCAGAGCATTCAAGTTGATTACAGATCAGAAAAGCCTTTAGTTTAACTTCTTAATTCAGCTTTAGTCAGAGAGAATTTCCAAATTTGTGAGAAACAGGAGGCAAAAATATGTGTAAAAAACAGCAGCCAGCAGTTTGCCTGCAGCACCTTTTTTCCCCCAAAGTAGTTTATTTTTTGAGTGTACTGGCAAAGCTCCAGTATTTTCTTCTGTTTTTTATTTCAGTTTAAAAGCATAATGTCAAGTAAAATATATTGTCTCATGATCAAGGAGTTTTCTGGTTTAGAGAAAGAGCAAAAGGGCATTGAGGAATCGCATTTATCTTTTTTTTTAAACAATTTTGTCATCATGATTTGGCAGATTGATATTTAATAATTTAATTATTCTCTCTTATATTATAGGAAATGCTTAGGATTGGAGATTTTTATAGTAATTTTGCAATAACCATGCCCTGGGACAAGTGCCTGTATTCTCAGAGGCCTTCTGCTTCTCAGTTATTTTAGTCAAGGTTCCTGTATCTTGACGTGTCCTTATCATAAATAGGCACTGAATCACTTTTTCTGCATGGTTGGCAGGAGGGACTTACTGTGTCCCAGGCTACCTGAAGAAATGAAGCTGGAAGCAGGCAAAGCTCTCCCAAGATACTCTTGATTGTATGCTTTGGTGTCTTGTTTTCTTAATCATTTTAAAGGGTAGAAGTCTTTGATACTGACTCTTGGTATGTGGGGGGTTCTCTTTTCAGTGCTTTGTTTAACCGATCAGTTCCGCTGTGCCAGTGGGCAGTGCATCGGGAAAAACAAGAAATGTGATCACAACCTGGACTGCAGTGACAGCTCAGATGAGCAAGGATGCTGTAAGTGTAAAACATGAGAGATTTAGTTGCAGCATCCAAAATTGTTTCTTACCTTCTCTACGAGTTAGATTTTATTTTGCTGATGAGACTGAATTAGCTCTTCCCAAAATGCTGTAATGCCGTTAATGCACAATGTGGCAGAATAGGAATAACAAAACATAACTGGTATTCAGAACGGGTAGTATCTGAGAGAGAGCAAGCTAGTAATCTTTCCACTTACCTTTTTAAAAGAAATGATAGATTTGTTTTACTATATTCTGTTAGTATGCTGAGTTGGTGTGGTGCTAAAATCAAGATCTTTCCAGCAGCGTGAAGCTTTTATACAGAACTGCTCAGCTTCATGCTTTTCTCTTCCAGAGAATTAATAGCAGGTGCTTTTAGAATCAGAGGAGCACTCTGTTTATAGAGTAAACCTTCTAAAATTTCGTCTGTATCTTGAAAAGATGTAATTCTGATCTTGATTTATGATTTGTAACATGTGATATTGCCTACCTTGAAATCTCTAGGGCTTTGCAGGAAAACCGCTGCCGTTAAAATTTCAACATGAAAGTTCATTTTCACTGTTGGTGCTTTAGAAGAAATTCTGAGTAGGGACATCTCTTGTGTTAGAGATCTGTATATCACGGTTAATACACATGGAACTTGAAAATGCAAAGGCAAAGTTGGACCCTTGATCTTCAGAAGGAGTAATAGGAGACGTTCTGTCATGTTACCATGTGGCATTATTAGTGGCATTATCACAGACACGTATATATATTTTCTGGATGGAAAATTAGCCCACCCAGAGTAAGACTGCAGTTTTTGCTGTCCCTCTTCCAGTATGATTTGAAGTCTGTTTGCTTATCTCTGTAGATTGTGACAAGCTGGTTAAAATGTGGTTTTTGGTGTTCAGGGAGAAGAAAAATATGTTGAGGAAAAGACTTCCAGTAATGGATAAGATGTAAAACACTGACTAGAACAGGAAAATACTTTAAAGTCTGCTTTTCTTGTCAAATTCATGAAGCACAGGCAGGGGGTTGTCAGTTATTGCCAGAAATGTCGTTTCTTAGAATTGGTATTGTGGGGAAAGCCACGCGTTTTGACTGTTTGAATAATCATTTCAGATAGGTTCCTCGTAAGGATGGCACCTCTAAAGCTGATGCTCAGCTATATCTCTAACCATTGGTGTGGAGTGGATTAGGTAGTTTAATAAATAGCAGCAAACTCAAAAGTCATCACTGGAGCATCACCTCTACTGCTCAGCATAAGCGAATGTTACACAGTTGAGAAAAGGGAATGAAATGTTACACTGAGCAGTAACCAAGGTGTTTACGTGATGAGATACAACATGAAAAGTAGTTGTCATCATCTTTAATGACATGATAAAGAATAACTGGATTCCCCAGCACGGTGCCGTCTGGAGTCGTGGCTGCAGGTCTTGTTCATCAAGTTCAAAGGATAGTCCTGCCTGTCAGCATGAAGCAAAATCAGGACCTGGCTCATCAACCCCCCTGCACATGCCCATACTGTTCTTTTCTGGTCGTTTGTTATTCAAAAACCTCTCTGCACATGTGGAGGTCGTCTTGTGCACAGGTAGCCTTTATGGACTACTCGGAGTCTTTGAACAGACCTATGCTGGTGCCTGTTTGTTCCTCCCATATATTAATTTGAAAGCTATTGTCTGCCTGCAGAAGAGGTCAGGAAAACTGACGGTTTATGTGAAGCTGCTGGATCAACTGAAATGGTCTGATGTTCCTTTTTTCTTTTAGACACAACGGAGGAGCCTGCCCCACAGCCCAACAATACGATAGGCTCCATCATCGGTGTGATCCTCACTGTTTTTGTGGTTGGAGCAATGTACTTCATCTGCCAGAGGGTGCTGTGCCCACGCATGAAGGGAGATGGGGAAACAATGACCAATGATTACGTGGTGCATGGACCAGCCTCTGTACCTCTTGGTTATGTGCCTCACCCAAGCTCTTTGTCAGGGTCTCTTCCTGGTGAGTAAATGGTGTGATCCTTGTCCTGCTCTTCAGCACCACGTAGTTGCAGCTGAGGAAACTGTGCCTGTGTGCACAGGAGATGCCAGTTCCAGAGCCATAATTTTTGGAAGCTGTTGGAAGCCAAGTCTGTCAAAGCTTGTCACCATCTTTCTTTATAATAATGGACTGTTATTTTACCTATGCTATTCATGATCATTTAGATACTTTGCAGAACTATAAACTCAAATAGATACACGTGCCATGGGAGTTCTCTTATTTTCTTGCTAAAGGAGCCTCTTTTTGGACTATTGTAGCATCAGCACGGTGTTGTGACAGTACAGGGTAAAGTTATGCGGAGATATTCATAGCACTTTAAACATTATGTAACAATTCCTGTTAGATTTCCAGACTGGTTTTTTTATGCTTGTGAAACTTCTTGTGAAGTCTGTAATGACCAGCAATAACTGTGGTCTCAGCTTAATTCATTTGATGAGGGAAGATTCCATTGCCAATCCAAGTATATGATGCTACTGCTGTTTAAAAAATTAGGACTTCACCACAACTTAGCACTTAATTTATATGTCTTGCTTCTGTACGTATTGAGTAAATACGTACTGTGATGTGTGGCTTTGGATCCAGCACGTTCTAGTCAGGACACAGAGATTCTGTGAGGCTGTTACAGGGTTACAATAATGCACCAGATTTCTTTGCCTTCTGTAATAACCTGCTTTCATACAGCCAGTCTTTGAGCAGAATTTTCACCATTATTTTGAGCACGGTGGCATACCTCTCCGTTTCCCACTTGGACTCTCTGCCAGCGTGTTTCAGTCCAGTAGCAAAAGCTCACTTAACGGTGTGGAAATGAAAGAACACAGACCCTCTCTTCTCTTGCACAAATTTCAGTTGCTCGGTTGAGGTGGTCAGAGTCAGTTTCATGTTTTATTCTGAGGCATAGAAATAGTGCCTGAATGCCTATTCTCTCAAGTCTTTTCCAGCCATTCAAGTGAAAGAATCCTGTTTCTCTTCACACAGCTCTAATCTCGCTCAGTGCCAAGTCCTGCACTTGAGTTGCTGATAGGCAAAACCAACGTGTGTATTCCCTGTCAGAATTCATTCCAGCTGTCCGTCAAGGAACACTGAATTCGCTCTTAATACCAGGAAGATTAGTTCTGGTTTTAGGAATTGTGCTCATACTGCGGTTATCCTCTAGATTATTTCTGTTCTCTGTTTGCTTAAAAAAACCTGAATATTGACGTACCTCTTTGTTCCTCAGGGATGTCTCGAGGTAAATCTGTGATCAGCTCCCTCAGCATTATGGGAGGGAGCAGCGGGCCACCCTATGACAGGGCCCATGTCACTGGAGCCTCTTCCAGTAGTTCTTCAAGTACCAAAGGCACTTACTTTCCTCCAGTAAGTCATTCTATTATTCATAGACCTTTAATAACTTTCAGGGGAATGACAGTGTCTTTCTGAGGATAATTAATTGGCAGGTGACTGTTTGGTTTTACATTGCTAGCCTAATAAACTTGTCTGAATATGGAGTAAGTGATTTTGAAAGGCAGAGGAGAGGAGATGCTTTTTCTGAAATAGTAGAGGAATTTTCTGTTAATTTTAAAAAGTTGTGGAAGAGCTCTGTGCCAGAAAAAGACATTAAATTGAATATCAAGGGAGATGAAAAAAATCCCTATAAATGTTGAGTAGTTCTGTCAGAGCAATCTCCTTTCATTATGCTTTGCCATGTGACTCTAGATATAAAACTGTGGTTGATTCTTTATAGACCTTTCAAGGAATTAAAATGAAGGTTTGTGTTGTGTGTCTTACAAGTGACAGATAAATAAATAAACATATGTCTTGCAACTCCATAGCATTCCTCTAGTCATAAGTGGATAGTGTGCTGCGCTAGATGCTATATAAAAGTTGGTACCAGCCCTAGAGGGCTCCCTGTCTCTTTTTTTCCTTCTAGCATCAATAGTTGTTGATTTAGATATTTTTATATGAAGTCCAGCACGCCACTATCAGGTGTGAGAGTTACACGCTCGATCAGTGCAGGCCGAAATCGTCCACTGTTTGCTTTCAGTTCAGGAATAAACCTGTCATGTTATATCTTTAATCAAAATCCTGTTTGTGCAGTAGAGCATGCCTGGATAGGGAACAAATCATAGCCTTGGCCAGCACGCTGGAACTTATAAACAGCATAATACTTGGGGACTAGAGCTAGCAGGAGCAAACATCTGCTGGTTTGCCTAGGGCAGTGGTATCCCTAGTGACAATCTAGTAGTGAAGAGCTAGCTTCAGCTTTAGAATGGTAAAGTGTCTGTTAAGGAACCGGGAAATAAACAGCAGAAAAGTCCTGTTTGCTGGGAGGAGCTATGAATGCAGTTCTTAAGGTTTTTATGAAACAGTACTAAAAATAAAATTTATAAACTATTGTTTTCTTAAGTCTCTTTCTTTTTTTTAATGTGGCTTTTCTTTTCTGCCCTTAGATTTTAAACCCACCGCCTTCACCAGCTACCGAACGTTCACATTATACCATGGAATTCGGTTATTCTTCAAACAGCCCATCCACTCATAGATCCTACAGGTAATTACTATTACAATAGCTTCTGTCAGCATCAAAGCAGTTACTGGAGAAAATGCAGAATAAAGACAGCCTCTGCTCTGTAAGAATTGTAATCAAAGGCTCTAATTCTGCAAGGACTAAAACAGGTGCCTAAATGGGTTCACATGTATCATGTCACGGAGGCGTACGTGTAAGTGCAGCACTGTTTGAGGTAAATCGCGCAGTAAGTGGGTTAGTGGTACTCCTCTCAGGTATATTGCTTTAGGGGGAATGACAACACTCAAAAGAAACCTGCTGTTGGGATAACTTTGAGCCAAAAATACTTACCCAGGAGTGAACCCTGCCTTTTTTTTCTTTTTTTTTTTTACTTTTATCATAAATAATTTTTATGTAATTATCGGAAACAGTAGGCAAGCACCACGTGGAGGGAAGTTGACAGTGTAAAGGCTAGTAGGTCAGAAGTAAATTTAGAAATGCTAGTTTGACAAGTTAAGGGTTAATAGTTGAAAAAGGTTGCTAACCTTTTGCTTATTTTCTCTAATATTTATGGGCAAGCAAGCTTTCCCTCTGTTTACTTGAATGTATCTTTCTTACTTTCCCTGTAAGATGCTAGAGCTCATTATAATTTTATAACTAGTTACCAAAAATAGAGGCACCTCCTACCCAAGGGTGTAAAGGTTCCCCTCCCAAATCACTAGCAGGTCTGGTCAACGAGAAGAGAGTGCTGGATTTCTCTCTTAAAAGACGTGCCTCCCTGACACGGAGCCTTTGGGGGCTTTTGGATAATGAGGTCTCTGGGGCTGAAAAGACATCTCTTCTCCATTAGCAGAAAATATGGCCTCTGTTGTGCAGAAGGTCAGACCAGATGTTTATAATGATCCCTCTCAGCCATATGAAAAATCTTTTAAAATGATGAGTAATTTTCTAGTGAAAGAAACCTAAATTTTGGCACTGGGATGAATCACGCTGTTTGCTGGTTAGTTGATGTGACTTTTCAGTATTGTAAACGATGTTAGGACCCAGTGTTTTCCCTATGCTCGCCCACCCAAAAATAAACCCTGGCCTTGCAGCTTCTGATCTTCCCATCTTTCCTAACATTCTGACTTGAATGTAGAGGAGCTGCATCCCCACCTGTCCCCAACAACTGACAGTGATACTGGTAATTGTAGCTACCAAGCGCCTCCCTTTCTAATTGGTTTCCTTTAGACTTATCATGAGCTCATTTTAAAAGATGTTTAGTGGTAGCAGCCTTTGGGAATTCCATCCAGTTAGTGCTCTGGGGAGTGATTCTCCTGACTGTAATGAGCGTGCCAGGCCATTTTCAGTCTTTCTGCCTGAGCTTGGAAGTTAAATATTCTGTCTCCCTTCTGCAATTTATGGATGCTATTTTCCCCGTAATTGTAATACAGCTGTTTTGCCTCTCTCTCTGCCCTTCCTGCCTGACTGTCTTGGGAGCAAGTTCTTTGGAAAAAAGTCCTTAGGGAGCCTGTTGTCCTTAGATAATTAATAATTAGCCTCCTTTTCGCTAGTTGCTGTAACCTGACTGATGCTGCAGTGCAAAGGTGGGCCTTCTGCAGGGCACTTAGCAAGGTCACGGTGTGGGAGAGAGGACAGTGTGGTGATGCTGTGTACCTGCTGCAGAGAAGCTGACCCGCTCCCCTTTCCCACCTTGCCTTACCTGCCACTTGCTTACGGGTGGGCGCGTCACCTGGAGCCAGGCGCGCAGTCTCCCCCTGTGACGCGGCTTTTCCCATCCCTCTCCCCGCTGCAGCTACAGGCCTTACAGCTACCGGCATTTTGCACCTCCCACGACGCCCTGCAGCACGGACGTGTGTGACAGTGACTACGCTCCCAGCCGAAGGGTCACGACAGCGACGGCCAAGGGCTACACCAGTGACTTGAACTATGATTCTGAGCCCGTCCCGCCGCCGCCCACTCCGCGCAGCCAGTACCTGTCGGCGGAGGAGAACTACGAGAGCTGCCCGCCTTCCCCCTACACGGAGCGGAGCTACTCTCACCACCTCTACCCGCCGCCGCCGTCCCCCTGCACGGACTCGTCATGAGGGGTAGCCCCCCCGCCCCATTATCTGCCTCCGTCGCGAAAGTGTAAATACAAAGCAGTTCTACTGGGGAGGGGGGAGGGAGCTCTCGGCGAAGGATGAGGTAGGACAGTGTACAGTTAAATGTTATTAAATGGGGTGGAGGAATGCTGAAGATATTTGTACAGAAGAAAGAAAAAAAAAGGATATTTATATATTTTCTTAAACAGCGACTGCTGCTTGTGCCATAAGAAGAAAAATTTTTGTATAAAAGAACCCAGACGTTTGTACAAAAAGTTTTTATTTTTGCAAATGGAACACAAAAACATGCCTTAATCCAGTGAAGTGACTGAGCACATAAGGAAATCGAAGGACCGGGATGTGTTATTTGTCCAGCGAGGTGAGATGTGGGGTTTGTCAATACCAAAAATGTTTAAAGTAATTAATAGAAGTCCGTCTCAGAGCAGCATACCATAGATACTTGGAAGTAGCCAAATAACCTCTATGTTAACTAAGGAGGGCCAGCAACTAAAGTTAAACTTGAAAACGCAGTCAGGACAGATATTAATCTTACACAAAGGGCTTTGTTTTCTACAGGAATACAGCAATCGTAGCAGTGAATCCAGAAAAAATAATGTCACACTTTTTTTTAACTGAATACGCATCTGTTTTTCCTTAATGCATTTACCAAACTAGAGTGTCTAGAGCTCTTTCCTTGCTTCTGAAATTTCAATGATTTTTGTTGGGTATATTTTAAAGTTTGCTCCTTTTTTTTTTTTCTTTCCCCGTTTAGCTCTTCCTATGTCTTCTTCCTGCCCGTGTCACTTTAAATCATGATATTCTTACTTAAAGTACTGCTAGAACTGGGCTGCTGTAAAATCTTCTTTTCTTTTAATTCTAATTAGCCTTGTCATGCAGTGAGTATCATGCTATATATTATTTTCTTCATTTTGCCAACATGATAGGATTCTGTTTTGTACCAGGTCAGTGCGATTTTCACGTAATTGACAAGGGTAATATGCGTATACCTGAATGATTTTTAGTCCCTTAAGAAAGAAAACCTTATTTTGACCTAGTGCCCACAAAATGTCAAATATTTTTATACCACATATAATATAGACAGCATATTTATAAACTATAAATTTAACCGTGGATTGTTAGTTTTACTGTAAATGAATAATATATCCTTGCAGTACTTTGAGTGTATATTGATATCACAGTATACAAATCGTATATATATAAATATATATATTATTTTTTCCTAGTAAGGAAGCATTTAACTTTAAGTGGAGCAACTGTCCATAGAAAAATAGATGTTTTGATCATTGGAAGGGGTTCCCGTGCTGTATTAACTGCTCATGATTTCTTTGTGTTAGGTAAAGCCAGTTTTTCTCAGTATGATTTTGACATACCTCCTCTTTTGTGTGGTGTGAGTTAAATACTTTAGTATTAACCGCTGTGAATGTCAAATTTTAAGATATTCTTAACCAAACCATTTTATATTCGCATCTCTATTTTTGTATATTATATTTAGCCCCTTCTCTCATCAGCCTCACCATGGTGATTTTGACAGGAAGAGTATACAATCAAGTGAAAACATTATTTGTGTAGGTTGAGGGGCAACCTAGGGTATTATAAACTCCTCTTCGACTCCAGTGCAGTGTTTTGAATTTGCTTTGACTGTAGTGGAGCTCACAGTATACCTGATCTTAGATGGTATTACACATTTGCACCTTCTCTTGACATCAAATCCAATGAAGGTGCTAAATGCCTTCAAAGACTGTCCCTCTGAGTCTTCCCTCTCAGAGGGAAGGTACAGAGGAGCTTCTGCCTTCATAGCCTTTGGGCATAGTATGGGCGTAAAAACTCTTCAGAGGTGCCATTTGGGTTTTATTGTTCTCTGTTGCTTGTTTCCCAGCCAGCTGCAAGTAAAAGAGAAATAATCTGAAAATGTGGCATGGGCTTTTAATTCATGTTGTTGACAGAATTGGTGACAAGTAATTCTTGCTAGTGCTGCCGCTCATCTGGAGTGCTGGAGCCTCGCTCGGTTTCAGCTCCAGGAAAACCATGGCATTGGGATTCCAGCTGTAATAAAGGGTCTTTCTAGTAGTCCAAGATACCTGAGGAAACTTTAAAAAGCCTCGGTGGTCTCCAGGCTGTTGCAGTTGATCTCTGGATCTGGCATACTAAATTTTGTTTGCCCAGCTTCGTTCTAGGTATCTAGTAATCATGGTATCTGTTCTTCTGGCTCTTCCTTGCTGGTGCAGAAGCTTGTTTGTGTTCTCCAGCAGGATGGATGTTGAGGAGGGTATTGTGAACTATAAGGGAACTCAAAACCATTTATATGAAGGGGGGGAGGGTGGGTGTGTCGGGGCGAGGGGATGTTGAGGCTGGCAAGCCGAGGAGAATTAGAAACTTCTCTGTTGTTTACATTTTTTCATGTGCAGCATTCCGTGTGGGGTTCACATGTGGAAACTTGCACTAATGAACTCAGAAGAATATTGCATTGTTGTATCTCAGTCCAAGTGCTTGTACTGCGATGGCAATGGTCTCTTCTTGCAAAATACTTTTCTCAGTGTGCCAATTTCTGTTTGAAAAACTATAAGGTGGTTGAACTTAAGGAGTGGTATCCTCTTTCGAGTGCAGTTAGACTGCCTCATTGAGGCTTCCTCTTGCAGGGGACTTCCTGCAGGTAAATTCTCAAGTGTGTTAATTGCAATTTTCTTCTTTAGAAGAAAAACCTTCTCTGTGTATGGATCGTGCTGCCTGCCTTCTGTGCTAGTTTACATCCACACATGACTCAACTGAAGTCAATGGGTGGGCGTATAATTCAGCATAGAATGTGATCAAGTCTTTTTGGTGTGTAGGTTTCAGTTTGCACATCAGGCATTTTGCGTGATCTGCCTCGGGGAGGTTCACGTGAAGAGGGAGAAAGTGGTCAGACTGTTTTTCTCCTGAAGGTGACTTGCATAGAGAGAGCAGGATGTTTCTCGTCTGAACTAACCAAAGAATTTTAGTGGGAAGCTGTGATCTGCCTTTACAATAAGTGCGTGTATTTTCCCAGTAAATCTAGAGTAAAATTTTGAAAGAGTTGATGATCTGTGAAGTTCCTCTTGGGCAGATCTCCAAATTACAAAAACTTTGATACAACTAGTATGCACACCTGGCGTTCCCAGTGGATGAACAGTAGCGTTGCACATTTTTCTCGGTGGAGACACCTGCAGAGTGTTCATAGCTGGATGGCTGGTGATGGAAATAGGTGGTATACTCAAACAGAAAAAGAACATTAGAGCATAATTTGTTGAAAACTAACCTTTGCATCTTCAACAGTTTAGCATGTATAAATGGCAACATTAATGAGACCTGATCTCACCTTTTAAAATTACATCTGCCATGTCATGCTGCATGTGTCCTAAGGAGCACCCCTCGTTTCTCCGCTGCCTTTGGTTACCAAGATATTTATTTGAAAAGAAGTTGGATGGCAATAAATGGAACATGCACATAGCATTTTCATTTGAAATAAAGAATGGTTTCCATGAATATAAATTCATGCAACCTGTGCATATACATTGAATGAAATATTTACAGTAATGCAAAACGTGCAAATGAGACAGCTGATCTCAAAGGACTCATTTTGCTGTGGGTGGTAACTTTCAGTATTGTAAATTCCGGATTACTGCCCTAAAATTTTCCCCCCACACGCATGTACAAGTGTATGTATGCAGGTACACTTATCTTTGATAATGAGAACTTACCCAAAGCTAGTGATTTTCTCTCGGGCAGACACATTCACATGGCCCCATTGGCAGATTCACCCTCCCTGCCTTTCAGAGTGCTGAAGGTGGGTGCTGTCCTGCTGTCCCACATAAGCTGAACTTCTTTTGGCCAGGTTGTAGGACAGACCAGAGAATACTTGCTACTTTAAACCTGAATAGTTGATGCTCTGTCTCACCAGACAGGAGAAGAAGCACATTTTGGTTTTTTTACACTACAATCCATTGCACGTGAAGGTGCATTCAGAGAATCCCCATTTATTGCACTAATGGGTTTTGGTGGTGTTCTGGTCTCCAGCTGTGCATTGCTTCTCTCTTATAGCCCATTCTCTAGAAATGGCTCGATTGGTGAGTCTTAACTGATTTAACATAAACTAAATGAATTTGTGTTTAAGCCCTGTGCTAAGACGAGGGAAAGGCCACTGTCTTGAATATTGGGTATTTCCATTCCTTATTGCTTGGCAAATCTCACTGAAATAATTGTTTACCAACATTCTGGGAGGAACTACTTGAACTACATAACTCGCTGGTCACACCTGCTTTTGAATGACTTTTTCAAAATATCTCTTAAGAGGTAATCAATGTTTTTTCCTGATTTTTTTTACTTGAGTGTGTTTGTTGCACAATATTATGGACATAATCTGCTTTCAGACATGTAGCATGCATGTAGCAGATTACTTATTATTTCTATGACCAAAAAATAGCTGATTCATTGGGTGCAAAAATTATTTGAATATTGTTATTCAGAAATAGTCTGAGTAGTTCTTAGCCGTGAGATTTATTTTTTTTAAATTGCATTTTGGTTGGCTTATTGCTTGAAAATTAACCTTCAATTTAATTTGCAGATGACAAATACAGCTTGAGAATAAGTTAGGAACGACCTAGTAGCTTGTAAATGGCTGCAAAGCATTCCATCGTAGAAGAAGTCCAATAAAATACAGTAGTGATCCAAAGGGGACGATGTTCTTTCTACCTTTAAAAAGGACAACTCAGTGGAATATGTCAGCACAGCATTTATAGGGACTGGGCGATCCACTCCGAAACCGTGCAGGCCAGGGTAAACAAACTGTCCGTGCTTGGTTCGGGCCAGGGATAGTCTTTGCAGCACACGGGGGACTCTTGTAACCGAACTCTTGGAGAGCATCGGGTTCCCCTCTTTTAAATGAGCCAGGAGTGGCTTTGAAGTCCTGATTGAAATGGCTGTAGCCTTAAGCCGGGCAGTTAAGAGTCAGCGAGGGGAGATGGAAGTGTCTTTTTGTAAAGAGGATACCACTAGGCTTAAGCTGAACTAGCCTTGTTTGCAAGTGAAGGATCTGGTGCTGCTTTCAAATTTTGAATCTTCTTTTTGTTTTGTTTTGTTTTGTTTGTTCTTTTTTTTTTTGTGTGTGTAAGCTTTAATCACTGTTTGTCATTGTCTTAAAGCCAGCTGGTGTCTCTTGTTCATCAACTTTGGTACGATGGTGCTTTGCAAGGATGTATTTATATTATAATGACCAACATTTGGTCAGCCCTATTCACTCATTCACTAACTTTCTTTTTTTTTTTTTTTGTAAAATAAAGTGCTTTACTTGTAAGGTGTATATAAACCTTGTACAAAAATCCTTTCCAATTATTACTATAAACTGAGTTGTAACAAATGAAATGTTGATTTTTATAATAAAACTAAGAGTGAAAAAGGAGAGGTACTCCTAATTTTATTTCAGCATCTGGAGGACAGATAATTAAAGGTAAAAGTCCATGTGTGTCTTTGCTCTCCATAAAAGCCGCAATGTGCTCAGTTTTCTGATGCTATAGGCAGGCTTTGCAAACACTGATGCATTTGCAAGCAGTTCTGTTGAATTCAATTATTCTGCGATGCAACTGGATACATTTTAAAGCTAAAAGTCTCCATTATTGAACACTCAGATTGTTTTACAGGATAATACAAACCAGACAATGTTACCAAATAAATCCTTATCAGATGAGAGATAGCCAGTGATCATTTTGCAGACTGCTGATCTTTAAATCTGTTTTGAAAAGTTTGCAAAGAGAGAAATGTTTAAAATGTAAAAGAAATTCCTTCACCCTCCATCGTATTACTGTGAGAAGTAATTGGATAGGAGGGAGTTCT